TGCTCCCTCTTCCTCTCATATGAGGACACAGTGAGAAGGCCAGGAAGACAGCTCTCACTAGGAACCAAATTAGCCAACTCCTAGATCCCAGACTTCAGCCTCCAGAACTGTGAGAAATAAAATTCTCCTGTTTAAGTCACCTAGTCCACACTATTTTGTGATGGCAGCCTAAGCTGATAATATACTCTTTGCCCCAATTCTTTGATTTCATGTTTACTCGAGAACTGATTTTCTTTTCTTTTTTTTCATTTATTTTTATTAGTTGGAGGCTAATTACTTTACAATATTGTAGTGGTTGTTGCCACACATTGACATTAATCAGCCATGGACTTACATGTGGGGAACTGATTTTCAATTCAGTTTTTGAATGGGTACAACATGACCACATAACTGATAGGAATAGAACTCTCACCTAGTTTAAACACCCATTTTATGCCTGAAGCTTTAACATGATATAGGTATTGACTATATATAGGTCTTGGAAGCTATACTTGAACCCCTTTAGTGAGAGGAACTGGGTTCATTTCCAGGCATTTCCATTTGATTCATTTCTGGACCAGACACTATCACTCTACTCTATAGATACAAGAAAGCATCTGCAAACCTCAAGATAGAATTTATTAAACAACTATTATGTGATAGATGTTTTCACCTCAGTATGATATTTTTTCTACCTTACAGATACAGACACTAAGGCTCAAAAAAATTAAGTAATCTACTAATGATCAGATCTTTAAGCATCAGAGGGGATTGATTCCACATCACTGAACTCAACAACTATTTTCTTTTCACCACACCAGTGATCTCCAAACTATACTGATTTTGAAAACAGATGACATTAAAAAGTAAGTATAAATCTAAATACTTTTATATTCCTTTTAAAGCCCACTTTGGAGAGATTGCTGTACTTTATCACATTAGCTCCCTTATGCTCGAGAGACAATAAAATGCTAGATCAGTGTAAGTATATTCATATTGGAAAATGTCGGAACCTAACATTTGGAAACAATGATTATTATTCTGAACATGGAGACTAGTAAATCTACTACTTTAAAGATGATTTTCAACAGAACTACAAGCTTCAAGTGTTAAATTTTTAACCTTAGGAGAGCCATATTGTATTAATACTTCATTGGAGAAATGTCAAGGAAAACTTGAATCACAGATCTGATGCTGGGGTCACTGTAAATGGCTCCTTTCCTTTTGGAACCAATGTATTAAAAAGAGTCAATAGTGGGGTAGAGTCTTGACTACTGTAGCAAATTAAACTATTTGATTAAAAACAGAATTGTTACTATAAGCATCTTCATAAAAATTTCTAACATATTTTAAAACTAAGTTCATGGCATCTGGTACCATCACTTCATGGCAAATAGATGGGGAAACAGTGGCAACAGTGACTGACTTTACTTTTGGGGGCTCCAAAATCACAGCAGATGGTGATTGCAGCCATGAAATTAAAAGATGCTTACTCCTTGGAAGGAAAGTTATGACCAACCTAGATAGCATATTAAAAAGCAGAGACATTACTCTGCCAACAAAAGTCCATCTAGTCAAGGCTATAGTTTTTCCAGTAGTCATGTATGGGCGTGAGTTGGACTATAAAGAAAGCTGAGCACCAAAGAATTGATGCTTTTGAACTGTGGTGTTGGAGAAGACTCTTGATAGTCCCTTGGACTGCAAGGAGATCCAACTAGTCCAACCTAAAGGAGATCAGTCCTGGGTGTTCATTGGAAGGACTGACATTAAAGCTGAAACCCCAGTACTTTGGCCACCTCATGCGAAGGGCTGACCCATTGGAAAAGACCCTGATGCTGGGAAAGATTGAGGGCAGGAGGAGAAGGAGACGACAGAGGATGAGATGGTTGGATGGCATCACCGATTCAATGGACATGAGTTTGGGTAAACTCTGGGAGTTGGTGATGGACAGGGAGGCCTGGCGTGCTGCGGTTCATGGGGTTGCAAAGAGTTGGACACGACTGAGCAACTGAACTGAACTGAACTGTGTTAACTATTCTCTTTCTGTCCTAAATGCTATGCTTTGCAAGTAGCAGGGGGAAAAAATCCTAGATGTCTACAACTAAATGCTGCTACAGAGTAAATTAAAAGGCATCATGTAAACATATTTGAGGCTGGAGAAAGCAAGTTTTAAATAGAGACATTCATTGATCTATTATGATTCAGAATAGTAAGTAAAAAATTAAACCTTTTTCTACATGGGATTTTCCTGCTATGAAACTTATAGTAGGGTAATAATTCACCGATCACTTTTCCAATCATTATTTTGAGATAGGATGGTTTTACAGTAAAATGTAAAATTCTGTAATTACCGTGTAAGTGTCACGTGTTCAGTCCCATTAAAGCAAAAGTCAGAACAACAAGAATTGTCCCCAGATTCAACAGATGACAAAGGCACTTCCTGAGGTTAACGACACAGAGAGAAATCTGAGCTATGCCCTTGATGTATGGATAAAGAACAAAAACCTGGTGGAAAATGTGGCCTTAAGCACCCGAAGAGGCATAAAACACAAAGCAGTCATATGAGAACTTTAATTATATTTGCAAAAATAAAATGCCAGTCCAATAAGAGATGGCTTGAAAACTTTAAAAAGAGATAAGTCCCTCATATCACAAAACTTGTAGGAGAATCTTCTCCTTGTCATAGCCACTGGGATCATGTCTCACTTTTGCACTGTCCAATGTTCAGTTCCTCTCTTTTGTACCTACTACTACTATAAATTATCCTCCCAAACTAGCAAAATGTCACTTAAAGTAAAAGTGGTTTGCTTATATTTAACATTTTTCATGCATCCCTTCCAAATAAAGGAAGAATTCAGAGCACTCATCACTAAAAGGACACTGTACCAGGTCTTCAAAGAGAGGAGAAAAATATGAACACTGCTTTAAGTACTCAAGAACAAATCAGGTGACTATCATAAATAAAGATGGTCTTTTTTCCCCTCCCATTTTGTGTGCCTTAGGTTTTCACAATGACAGATAAAAGATACACAGAGACATGCAGGGAGGAGCAGAGGCCATTTTCAACACTTAGAACATTCCCTTTTATTTTCAAATGTCATAATGCCAAAGAAAAATATTCTCAGGTCCAAAATTTAATTAATTATTTAAACCTTCCTCACCAAAAATGGGAAATATCTAAGTGTACAATTTTGAACCCTGAAAAAAAAAAAATTTTGAACCCTGTTACAGCAAAGACTTAAGGAGCAGGGATGACATTCTTCAGCTAGTGCAAACTAAACTTTAAAAACTCTAAAGTGACAAGTTTTCACTAGGCAGAGAGCCTGGCTCTTTTCTCTGATAAACAGCAGTCTCTTGCTCAGAGTCATTTAATTAAGTGGAAGCACTTTCTTTATGCCAGTGGATTCTCAAGACGCTAAGAAGCAGTGAAATGAGAGCTCTCCTGTTCACATTTGGACAAATGTAGGCAACTCAGATTCTCTTAATCTTGGAAGCATGAGCCTTTCCACCAAGATGAAAATTTCTGCATTAAGCAAATATAAATAGGAAATCTCCTAGCATCATTAAGTACTCAGAGTTCCTTAAAGTCACAGTCCAATTAATTGTTTGCTTTTAGAATATTTTTCCCCAAGAACAGGGAAATGTTTAACAGTAAGTTTTAAATTATCCATAATATTCTCTTTTGCCTCTATACATTTTCTTCATATGGCATGTCTCTGAAATTTAATAAAAGAAAGAAGTATTATGTGAATGATTGCATTCAAATTTAACCTAAGAAAAACTCAGTAACAGGAAGATATTTTTGCAGTTTGGTAATTTGTACGCAGGTCACCTTCTATCACAATGAGAAACTGTGTGATAATAGAAGGAATTCCAGGCTCCATGCCATGGCCCTTGATTTTACATAATAATCCATACATCTGAACACCATAATAAAAAAAGGAATCTGGACATTCCCTCAGAGTTTGTTGAATTTCCTTTGTTGGTTATTAAACAAAGTTACTACCCAGTCCAAGAACAGGCACACTTTGGGATACATCCTCATTTGTTTTTAAAAACCCTACTGGGCACTATATTTCCTTCCCCATTACTCCTGCATCACTCACCCTTAAAAGCTGGATGGTAATTAATTCTACAGAAAGAATTAACGATGGCCTTGGGCCATCACCAAGAATCACTGGTTGTAACACAAAAGCATTCTGTACTAGAGAAATGTGTTTGCATTTGTGGTTTTTCTGATGCCTTCAAACGAATGTTCCTACGTCATAACTACATCTGTTTGGATGCCTTTTTTTCCCTTGGGTAAATGAACAAAGGGACATGTTCTTAGAGTTTGCCTGATGGAAATCAACAGTCTACTTTCATTCTTGTCTTGTGTAGCTTTCTTTGAGTTGCTCTGTTTGTTCATGCTTTCTTTCATAAATTAGTAGAAATTTAAAAATTATCACAAATTTGGTACCTTAAGAACACTAAGTGAATAAGACAATCTCTATCAAAAATAAAACAAAAAATTAAAGGAGAAAAGAGATTAGAGACATACTCCAGGATAGAAAACTCATAGAAGTGATGACCCACTGATTAAGTGTTCACATTTTTCATCAAGTACGTGAACTTGCAGAATGTGATTGATTGAAGTACCCTGTAATGTAAGTTCAATTTACCCTTTTGGACTAGCCTGGGAAGTTTGCTACTCAAGACATAAATTTCTTCAGTTTCAACTTTTTATATTTTATGCATGCATCTAAAAATCAGGGTGTCCGATATCTTGCCAGTGGACATATACAAATGAATGGTAAGGCATGTAAACTGGCTGAAAGAGAATTCCCATCAAATGTCAACCAGGCCACTGAGACAAACAAGTCTTCATTTGTTAATAAGCTGTGTACAATTAGAGAACTGAAAGTCAACCAAGGGTTTCTCACAAGTCTGATCATGAAAGCACAGTATTAAAATCCAAAAGAAAACAGTAAAAAGTTGTGGGTACACAGTTTTAGAAAATAAGTGAAACAAAAGGTACTTACACTTTTGCTCCGGGAAAGCAAATCACAGGTATTTCTTTTCATGGTGGTGCTTTAAGTAATTCAAACAGGCAATAGTTGTTTCCAATGTCACTGCTCTCACTGCAACAATTATCCACTCAAAACCCAATTGGCATTCTGAAGAGAAAAGCAAGGAAATGTTTAATCAAGTATATGATTAACACATGCACTTTGAAATGCTATCTTACAGTGGGACAGTAATTCTTCAATTATTCATCAAAACAGGCTAAAACGGTGCCGTGTCTAAGCTGTAAAAGTACACACAAGCAACATTTCCAAAACAGCTTTTGTTAAATGTAAGTTAGAGATTTCAGGCACCATCTGTTTTTCATTAAATATTTAAGTCTACATTTCTAGTGGCTGAAAAAAAAAATAGGTATGGTAGTCACAACCTAAAGTTACACATATGAAATGAAGATGCATACTGACTTGCGTATGTCCTGATTCTGGCTGGCACAGCTAGGGACTTCTCAATTTTCCACCTCGGGATCGCTAAAGTAGCTTTGTTCACTGCTGGAATCTTACCCACATCTGAAAGCCCTCTGACCATGGCATCATGGCCTCTTGTTTCACTGGCAATAATCTACAGTACGTGGAAGACATCCCAGTGGCTCTTCAGTGAATTAGTGACCTTCCTACCTATTCAGTTCAAAGAGGTTCCAAGGAATGCTTGAGAGAAATTGTTTACCTAGTCAAGCAGCAACTATTATCTTAAGAATATTCCACAGCAGCTGCCACATGAAAGACATGATAGCCACATTGCCTACTCTTCACTTCCACTAAGAAGATTATTCTGTGTTTTGAGCTTTGAAGAAAGAGCAAAGAGAATAGTTAAACGCACTGTGTTCCATTTCTGACATTCAGCTCTATCTGGACATAGCTTAGAGGCTCATAGGGTATATCGGCATGTGGGCTGAAGTGCCTTTTGGGAAAGAAGCTCCCCTAAAAGGATGAGGCAGACCGTCCTGACCAAACCACAAGAACTCTGACATTGTTGGTATAGGCTGATTCTAACCACAGCATGTAGTTCTATCACTTAGATTTGTTCTAAGCTTCTCAGAAGACTTATGTCTGAGGGTGAATGAAAAGAGTTTAACAGTGAGCAAGGGCTTAAGGAGTTTGTTTTGCTCAAATGACTAAAAAATATCAAAGTGCAATGTAGTGTGAACTATACATTCAAAAAACAATCAAAACAAAAAAAAAAACTATATGCACTTTAAATATATATATATATATAACTAAAGGAGAGAGGACTCCAGGGTACACAGTCTATGTGGGCCTCTGGGAGGAGGCCAGCTCGCAGCAGCAGGAGAACGCAGCCAACCACACACCAGTGGACAGGTTCCTTCACTTGGCAACCTGCAGTAGCACCCTCTCAAGGCTCAAAGATTTGCTTGGACACATGTAAGTCACACCTCAAGATTTATGAAAATAAAAGGGCAATGTTTTTAAGGAGGCCAGAGACCCCACAACTGTACACTGGAGCCAGAATCAGAGAAATAGCATTTATTATTGCTCAGAATATACCTAGATACAACTTGGGGACCCAAAAGGCACCAAGGGAAAAAGTCTTTTTCTGGGATTGATTAAAATGCTTGCCTGAGATTAGAGAGAGAGAAAAAAAAAAAGTACAATCAAATGTGAGTTGTTAGAATAAATATGGTCACTTTGAATGCGAATGGATTTTTTTTTAAGGGAGTTGGGGTTAGAAGGTGGAACGGACCCACAAATGCTAAGTTCTCAGCTACTATACCTCTGGGAATTTAGTCGCTTTCATTGATTAGTCATAATGCCAGACATTTCCTGAGTTTTCAGAAAATGTGAAATTATGTTATTTACCTAGATCAATTTAAGAAGTGAAGATAAATAATATAAACTGTGAACTAAATATTTCATACATAGGGAGGAAAAAAATCAGTTAAATTCTTTGGGAAGCTTACACTCTATATCAGAGAAAAACTCATTCAAAATATTTAATTATTCATTCAGTATTTAATGAATACCCTTAAGGGTAACCTTGGAATAGTTGCCCCAGTGGACTAGTGACTCAGTGGTTTTAAATTAACTAATCAGTCAAATTTTTAAAAAAGGATTTGATCTGATAAGCCTTGCTGAATTAATCAGGTTTTTAGCAAATTTGCCTTACATATTTAAAGACCATCATTAAGAGATACTTTCCTTTAGGAATTTAGAACTTGTAGAAATCTGAATAGGCAAAAGGATTTAATTGAATACTGACAGTAGATCCAATGACCTTCCTCAGTCTGTATACCTAAGGAGACAATATGGCCTTGTTACAGAGTATGAACCGTGAAACCAAATTATATAGGTTAGAATTTCACCCCTCCAGTGGAATTCTGTGCAGCTTGAGGTAAGTTACTTGACCTCTCTGAGCTTTTATTAAATCTGAAAAAAGGCTATAATAATGTTCGTTTGTGTTTGAGTTTAAATAAACTAGCGGGTATAAAGTAGTGTCTAGGAGACAATGCTAGGCTATCACCACCACCACCATCATCATCCATCATTACTACCTTTTTTCTTCTTAATATCAAATAGCAAGCAACCATAACATTTTTTCCCTTAAAAGTCTAAAATCCTTCATATAAAAGAGTCTTAGGCAAATATACTTTCAATTAAGCAGTAATGAATAACATACCAGTTCGGGTCCCAGGAGTAAACAGAACACACACATATTAGGATCATTTAAGGAGGGTTATGTAAAGAGACTGTTTTAAAAGATGTGAGTAGGACAGAGAAATCCATAAAGGATGGTGAAGTAGCTGGAGCTAGCTGTAATGGAGTTTTTACCACCCCAGGCTAAAGGGACAAGGAGAGGGATGGGTCAGTATTCCCAGACAATAACCTGTCATAGAGTGGGCTGCCTTGAGAAGGAAGGTTATTGTCTGGGACATAGCTAGCCTCAGGTGACTTTGAAGGGCAAGAGATGAGGGAATAAACTTGATTACACTCTACTCTATCCCTCTGATCTCCTGCTGGGACTCCCCACCAGCCAAATGCAAGGAAGCCAGAGGACAGAAAAAGCTGCTGCCTACACCTCATTGGCCAACCCCCTGCGGGCAAAGTGACTCCTCGAGTGGGGCAGGGAGGAGGATGTAGCTGAGGGGACAGGAAAGCTGTTCCATGCAAATCTGATCTACAGTCTATGAAGAGGATGGCACTTTTCTGCCATCTCATCTCAGCAGAAGAAAAACATCTATCATTTAACTTAATCCTTCCAACAACTCTTGAGGTAGGTATTGTTATTATCCCCATCACAAAGAAGATGAAAAAATCAGCTTCAAGAAGTAGGTTGCCAAGGAAATAGCAGCAGAACCAGAATTCAAACCTGATTTGTCCAACTTCAAAGTCCAATTATTTGTGTATCCTAATATCTTGCTTTGCTGCCAAAATCATGGATCAATGCATTTTTTAAAAAAGTGAAGTATAGTTGATTTGGAAAAGGAAATGGCAACCCACTCCAGTATTCTTGCCTGGAGAATCCCATGGACAGAGGAGCCTGGTGGGCTACAGTCCATGGGGTCGCAAAGAGTAGGACACAACTGAGCACACAGCACATAGTTGATTGGCTCAGATGGAAAGAATCTGCCTGCAATGCAGGAGACCTGGGTTCGATCCCTGGGCAGGGAAGATCCCTTGAAGAAGGGAATGGCAATCTTCTCAAGTATTCTTGCCTGGAGAATTCCATGGACAGAGGAGCCTGGCAGTCCGTGGGGTCACAAACAGTCAGACACGACGGAGTCACTAACATGTCTACTTTCTTTATAGTTGATTTACAATGTTATGTTAAATTCAGGTATACAGCAAAGTGATTCTGTTATAATACAGACAGATAGGTAGATAGAGATGTATCTGTTCTTTTTTAGATTTTTTTCCATTATAGGCTACTACAAGATACCGAATATAGTTCCTTGTGCTATAATTAGGCTCCTGTTGTTTATCTATCTTATATATAATAGTGAGTATCTGTTAATCCCAAACTCCTAATTTATCCCTCTCCCCCTGCTTTCCCCTTTGATAGCCATAAGTTTGTTTTCTATGTCTATGGGTCTATTTCTCTTTCATAAATATATGATACCACTTAGATGTAGAATCTTAAAAAAATGACACAAATGAAGCAATGCATTTTAATTTTCAATAAGTAGTAACCTCTGCAAGCATCAAATCTGAGCCTAAACCAAAGAATGTTTGATTAAAAAAAATCTCCTCTCAGCAAGGCAGTTATCTTAGCTCCTACAAATTCCTCCTTCAGCAAAGATAATGTAGTGAGGCAGCAGAAATACTTTCTCCCTCCAGGTGCAGGAAAACGCCAACCAGGTTGGGGGAGACACACAGGCGATTTCATCACTAGAGGAATTTTCACATAAACGTTAATTAGGGAGAAGGAAGAGTCAGCTCCAGCAGAAAACACACTTTAGGAAATAAAAATGAAGAGAGTAGCTAAGTCAGATAGAGGGTGTCGGCACATTCAGAGACAGAATCGGAGCTGGAGCACCAGGATAAACTTTGCTGCTTTGATGCAAGGAAAGGGAGTTCAGACAAGTTCTTTCCTGGAGACTGAGAATTTACAGAGTGGAAACACCTCACCTGTGAGTCTTCTCACCTGGGTTTTAGAAGAAATAGATTCCACTTGTATCAGTGTCATACACATGAGCTGGATGGTGTTAGGAAAATCCCTTACCTTTTTTCTTCTACAAGCTATTAGCTTCTCTGTAAAGATAACAGTATTTCCACAACCCACCTTATGGGGTGGTCTGGGGTGAATTTGATAATACCTGAGAAAGTTTTCTAGAAATTATATTGACTGCAAATGTCAATTAATTCTATTCATTTAAAAAACAGATGTGCCAATGCATTCTAAATATGAGTGGAAAGGGGTTCTAACTATTCGCAAATCTTAGAGAGGCTTTTAAAAGTATTTTATATGTTTCAGAGGAATTTTTTCATCCTTCATTTACCTCCCTTGGAACTAACTTTTTTTTTTCTTCTGCATAATAGTAAATATGTTTTGATTGCTGAATTATAAAGCTGCTGAAATGCACTAATTTAAAATATGTACTTATTGAGCATCTCATATGTGCTAGGCAGTGTACT